ATGGCCAAAGTGCTTGGGCCCCTGAACCCACATGGGAGACCCAGAAGAAGCTCCTGGCTCCTGGCTTCAGATTGGATCAACTCCAGACATTGCAGCCATCTGAGGAGTGAACCGGTGGATGGAAGACCTCTCCCCCGCCGCCTCTGCCTCTCTAACTCTGCCATTCAATAAATAAATAAATCTTAAAAAAAATAAAGAAAAGATAATTCTAACTTTTCATAAGTTAGCTTCAAGTAAATACCTCTTAATAAAAGTTTCCTTTCTATAAAGGCAATTTTTCTCCCATATGGAGCTTCCACTAAAAAAGTGAATAATCACACAAGGATACCAGCCTTCCTAAGTGCTTATAACAGTATCAGCATTTGGAATGCACTTGAACTAGTTCTTGGTCATTTCAGCCTCACTTATGTTCAAAGTCTCCATCATTTTCCTGAAATATAGGCAAGAGATAGAAGTGTTACTAGAATTGTACTGGCCTAAACAACACAAGCATCCTACTGCCATAAAATCCCAGAGGAGGAAGCCCCTTGGAAGACCTCTCCTCCTTTTGATCCACCAGGTCAGGAATTCCCCCTTACAATGTGCCTGACCACGGCTGCCGTCCAAGTCCGGCCTCCACTCAGCCAGCCCCTGCTCAGTGCGTGGAGCCGTCAGAGCATGATGGCCCTAGACTCACATGCCATCTGATCACTTTCCCGCTTCTCTGATTGAAGACCAAACTGCAGAAGATTATCTAATAAATGCTATAGAGGCCCTAAGTCCTCTTCTCTCTGTGTCTGTTTTTACTGTGTCTGTGTTGTGGAAGTCCTTGATGTTTTGCCACAGTGGAAGGGAAGAAAGTTCTATTTATCACTGGGGTAATGATATGTGTAAAATGGTAATTCTCAGAGTTGTGTTTTTAAATAAGTGAAAAATTTCCCTCACTTGTCTTTTAAATATTTTATATTATTAAAAACTAGTGAGTAATGAAATGCACATTTTTTTACAGATTCTAGCAAGTTCTAGAAAGGCACTAATGAGCCTGTGGGAAAGGATGGAGGTTGGTAGAGAAAAATGGGAATGGGAAGATTGAAAGCGATAAAAGAAGAAGACAGAGTAACAGAGAGAGTGGAATAAAAACAAAAACAAACAGATGAGTAATACAAGAAGAGGAAGAAGAGATAGAGAGGGAGAGAAGGCAGACAGAAGACAGGAGGAAGAAAGGAGGGATGGAGAGAGGAAGGAGCAGGTTTGATGTGAGTGAACCTATCAGAGATACGTTACTTGCTAGAGTCCAGGTTGCCCATGTGCTGAGACCCTACCAGCCATAATACTAATTGTTAATGGTGTTAGCTGGATTCTATCTCCTAGATACTAAGTACATACAATGTAATCCTCATCACAACCCCATGAGATAAATGCTACTACTAAAATCAAATCCATCACCCTCAGACGGGAGAAATCTGTGCCTTACAACTCACAGATAATGACTGACAGAACTTGGAATTAAGTTCAGGTAGGCTGGCTATATACCACTTGGTCACATGGCTCCACCCACCTGAGACTGCCTTTCTTATTCTCTAAGCTAATCACCAACAAATTTTACTATTCAATGAGATTTCTGTGAGCTTTACAGAAGTTTCAAGCAATTCTTTCCGCATCTAGAAACACTATACTTAGTAGTGTTAGCAGATTGCAAAGTCTATTGTAAAATTTAAGGCTGTTTTGCTTAATATTTTTGCTTGGAGGGAGGCTGCCGGTGTCGTGCCGTCGTCCCCACGTGTGAGCGGTGGATCGTTTTGAGGTATGTTTCAAGTTCCCTTGACAGTTCCAAAATTGTTAATTGTCATGTTGTTTTGCTTAGAGTGATCATAGTTGCTTTATTCCTTGTTAACTAGAGGATTTAATTAAAACAAGTGGTTATTTCTGCATCATATCAAATTCTTGCCTTGTAATCCAGTGAATACTAAGTAGGGAAATAGGGAGAGAAGAAAATTCTTTAAAATCTAGGAACACAGAGGAGGCATTGCATGGCAGTCGTTTTAAGCCACCCCTTTGGATGCTTGCATCCCTTAATGGAATAGCTGGAATAGAGCCCAACCTCTACTTCCCATTCATGTTCTGACTAATATACCAGGGAAGCATAAGATTGTTTGGATATCCAGGTTTCTGCCACCCATAACTGGGCAACCTGGATTGAGTTCCTGACTCCCAGATCTGGTTTGGTCCAGCCTAGATTGTTATAGGCATTTAGGGAGTAAACCAATGGATAGAAGATTTTGTTCTCTGTGTCTCCCTGTATTTGTATCACTCTGGCTTTCAAATAAATGAATAAATCTTTAAAAACTTAAAAAGCTAGGAATAAATATTATATATATGATAAATATAATGTTGTATGCATAAATAATTAATGAACAAATGGAATTAAGTAGTAATTGCTTGATAACATCACTTTTTCTGTCTTTAACATACCTCTAGAAACCTCTTCAGAGAGGGCTCATATTCACTAGTAGGACAGTTTCTAAGGGATATCATTAAGATCAAACACATAGCACTTTTTTCTGAGTCTGTGGAAATGTTTAGGATTCATTCAGAAAAAATGATTTTAGATGCTTTCAATAGAAGAACATCAATACAAGAAATTAATTGTTCAAGAAAGTTTTGAGCAAACATGAGTTGATGGATGGGAAGGAGACGCAGAATGGAAACAACACTGATATCTTAAAGAAGGGCAGAAGCATTCCATTGACCCTGGGCTGGATTTTACAACTTAACTGCATGGTTGATCTGCCACAGATGCTGTCAGATGCTGTTCCCAGAGAACAGGTATGGAAGCACAACCATGGAACTGAGAGGCCACTTGGATCCCATCTGTATGGACAGGTGTCATTGCATCCAAAATATGCAGCAGCCCTGCCAAACCTTATAAGAACCCTGCACAAATATCAACTATTTTACCTAAAAATGAAAAAAATGGGAATTTGGTTACAAGCATAATCTAATAAACATTTAAAAATAAAAATAGAAAGCATTGTTCTTTGCCTATAGGAAGTTTTTAATTTTTTTTTATTTCAAAGTCAAAGAGGCAGAGAGAGAGAGATCTCCTTTCCACTGCTTCATTCCCCAAATGCCAGCAACAGTTAGGGCTGGACAAGGCCAAAACCAGGAGTCAAGAAGTCAATCCAGGTTTCCTACATGGGTGACAAGACCCAAGTACCTAACCATCACTTGGTGCCTCCCAGAGTGTATATTAGCAGGAACCTTGCATCAGGAGTGGATCCAGGACTCAGATCCAGGCACTCCAATACAAGATGTAGGTGTACCAAGTACAATCTTAAGTGCTGTACCAAGCATTGTTCCTTTTGCCCATAGGAGAATTTAAGCACCATTTGTCTCATATCTTCAATATTTTTTGTTATCATTAGTATATTTTCCTGATTTCTATAACCACTTTCAAATTTGGATATTTGCCATATTTTTCTTTTGGAGGTAATATTCATCTGCCCCTTAAATGGATTGTAAAATTAATTATTGAGTGAGAAATGTTAAGCTGCTATCAAAGAGTTTATTAAGGAATAATTCCAATTGTCAAGTGCCACCACGACTCTAGGAATGTCATAGCAAGTCACTTAAGGCAGAAGGAGATGATGTTCAGATGTTTTATTACAGCTCTTACAGATAGCAGTTATTTCAAGGAGATTGCTTTATTCTGATCTCTGCAGTCAATTTTGAGGTTGATGGCATTTAATTTTATGTATGTATTCAGAGAGAAATGAAATGGCTTGATAGTGACATACATTTCAGGATTTTTCTTTTATTGGATTGAAAAGGCAGGTACTTAGATTTGCATTACTTGTTGGAAGCAGGAAAAAAAATCATGATTAGTCCAAGTTTCATGTTAGGTAGAACAGTGACATTTTGGAACTTAATTAATCTTATCTGGAACTACAGCTGCATTACATTAAATTTGATCGAATGCTGAATGGCATCTACAGCCAAGCTTATTTCACTGAGGCCCAGGACGATGGTGTTACATTTAGGCGGGGCTAGTCAAGTGAATCTGGTCCTTTAGCACAGCAGGAATCTGCTGAGCTCATAAAATCCTCAAAATAACTTCCACCTCCTTGGAGGTGTTTTCTCAGTACATACAGGTTTGGGAAGAGAGTCTATGCCCAGGATTCACAAGAGGGTCTTTCCATCTCCTTTTTGGGCGGGTCTCAACTTTGGCACATACGTCAAATATGTTCAAGTAAACGTGATATGAAGGTACTTAGATTGTGGAGGAATCACCCAAAAAGGTTAGGTTCAGGAGTCACTTTCATAAGTGAGCTCAATATTAGCTAACAATCAGGAAGTAGACAACAATAGTAAGTAAGATTATATTTTGAACAAGCCAATCTTGACAATGTAAAATAGTGATGACTTTCCATTCTCATAAATTTCGTCAAAGCTTCAAAGAATCATGGTTAAAATCAATGATCTAAAGACAGGTAGCTTGTGTTTACATCCTGGCTCTATCATTTAGCGAATGTAAGATTTGGGACAAACTATGTAACCATACTGGAAGCTCAGCTTCCTTATCTTGTAAAAAGAAAATAGCAATAGTGCCTATTTCCTAGGGTTATTGCAAGGATTAAATGCATCCAAATCTGTAAAGAACTTAAAATGATGCTTGGCACATAGTAAGCACTACATATGTGTTTGTTAAATAAACACATTCCTTTCTTGAGACAGGAACGTCACTCCCAGCCCTGTACACACAACACACGCAAGCTCCAATGCTGAAGCAATAAATCCTTCTGAGAAAGAAAATCACAGATTCCCAGAGCCTTATTTTCAGAATCTCTCATGTTGCTTCCAGACATTGGCTATTTAATCCTTCCAGAAAAACCAAGAGAGAATTTACGCAAATAAACTTCTCCTTTTACAGAAGAGAATGCAGCTGTACAGGAAGATCAAGTGTTTTCCTTGAGACAACCCAAGGAACTCAGCCCCTTCACCATGTTTTTTTCCTTTACCAGGCTCACTTGCTATTAGGCAGAAAGCAATAAACTGATACGAAGCAAAAAGTTTACATTCAAACCAACAGAAGAAGTCAAAATACATAGAGAAAAACGAATCCACTGCAACTTTTCAGAAACTAGATCTTTCCTTCTGACTGCTACAGGAAATAAACAAAGTAAGTACAACTGAGTGAACTTAAGTTTTCATTCAAATTGCCTAAATGAGAAAGGAGCTAAAATAAGCTGGCTTTTTAAAAGCAATCAATTATGCATGTACGTTACATTTGAATTCATATAAATGTAGTTTAGCTGCCAAATCATGTAAGAAAAAAGCTTTGTTGTTGAGGTGAGTTGGGGAGAGTGGGTAGCTGCAAGGTCCCTCAGTGTGCTGGGATATCTCACCTAGTCAAGGTAAAATTGGGAGAAGTGGATGGGAGAAGAGGTTTGGGTAGAGGTGACAAATTTGTTCAAATTTCCCTCCAAGTAGCTCCATGATGAGCTTTGAAAAGCAATAATCTTTATCCATAAGTGTTTCTTCATACCAACTCCTGTTTATGCAAGAATCTTTGGACTTTACCCAGTCTAGCAATATACCTTAAAGGAAGAGGAAATGGAGACAGAGGGAGGAAAAAGGAAGAAGGAACAGAGAGGGGAGATAAAGAGACAGAGAAAGGCACACACACACACAAAGATTTTTCAGGTTTTTTTTTGACAGCATGTTTTGAAAAAATTTTGAAAATTTCCAATAATTTTATTTTTCCCTGATATCAAAGCAATACATGTTCATTGTACAAATTTAAGAAATTTTGTAAAATACAGAAAATCGAACTCATCATAATTACCTGTCACCTTACTCTTGAGTATCTTGATTTACATCATTACTCTCAGTCTTACATACACTTCCTCTCTGCCTGAGAATTCATATACATTTTAAAGCGAAATTAGTATCTAAGGATATATAACTTTTAGCTTAGTTTTACACTTTATTATGAGTCCTTTCCTAAACTCTTAAATGTTCTTTGTAATTGGTTGTCTCAAACATAATTTATCTAGTGTATTGCATAATTTATCTAATCAGTCATATGTTAATGAGTGTTGTTTCTCCTGTTTTATAAACATAACTAATACATATTTTGGGGAATCTTCTGTGGCTATTTTCTCAGAAGAATGTTCCAGAATGGAAACTTAGATTGAAGTATATACATCTTTTAAAATATTTAATATCTAATATTGTGTTTTGTGTTTTCTCTGGTTTTTGTTAGTCTTGACTTAAGCTTTTTTCTCCAATACAAAAGAATCTCAAGCTTATCAAGTCAATTTTTTTCTAATTCATAGTTTTTGCTTTGACATATTATGCTATATTCCATGTTTTCTTTTAGGTTATTTTCTATTTTTGTTGTTTGAAAGATTAAATGGTTCATTTCTATAGTTTTCAATATTTATTTATTTATTTATTTATGTTATTTCAAAGTCAAAGAGACATACAGACAGAAACAGAGATCTTCCATCTACTGATTCACTCCCCCAAATGCCTATAACAGCCAAGACTGAGCCGGGCCAGTTATGATCCCAGAACTCGGTCCAGTTCTCCTGTGTGGCTGGCAGAGACCCAAGCACTTGGGCTATCACCTGTTGCCTCCTAGGATGCACATTAGCAGGCAGTTGAAATCAGAAACAAATCTGGAACTCAAACATGGGTACTCCCATAGGAGCTGCAGGTGTCCAAGAAGCATCTGAAGTGCTGTGCCAAATGCCTACTTTTCTATAAAAACAGTGTCAAACACTTTAAATGAAATATCTCAGTTAACACTGGCTAGTACTCATTAGATAGTGTTCATTGCATGTTATACATGAGGAAATGGACTCCAGTATGTTACATATTTCAAATGTTCATCGAGAAAGCAGATGGTGAAATAAGGGTATGATCTCCCCACTTCATGCAATGATGGAGAGATAGAGGGCACACACTTGAGGGCACATCCTGAGGTACACCAGCCCTATTTGCTCCCAGGTCGTCTCCTACTGTGAAGGACACTTTGAGTGTTCTACACAGAGCATTGTTTTCTGCTTGATTTTGCTTTAACATGTCCAAATGACAGCAAATTTTCACTGAACTTTTAACATCAGCCATTTATTATTACTATTATGAAAAAATTATTAAGGAGTCTTTATAATAATAATATTCTTTTGAGTGATTCTTGTGAGAGTTACGGGAATGTTTGGAAAAGTTGCATTCCCTACTTTCATGGTAGGACATCCAGTATATATCAGATAACTTGAATTTACTGAATTTTATTATAATTCTTCATTTTATTCAATTTTACTTATTTTTGTTTTACTCAATTACAGTTATTTTATATATTTGCTTTGGCACAACTTGAGAGTGTAATTTATCCTATTCATTGATATTTATCTATTTATTTGAAAGAGACACAGCAGTATCTTTCATCTACTGGTTCACTTCACAAATGTAAACAACATCACAACAACTAAGACTGGGCTAGACTTAAGCTGGGAGCCCAGAATTCAATCCAGGTCTCCTACATGGGAGATAGGGACCCAGTTACTTAAGCCTCCCAGAGTGTACATTAGCAGGAAACTGGATCAGAAGTGGAGCTGGAACTCAAAGCTAGACACTCTGATATGGATGGAATGTGGGCATCCCAAGCAGCATTTTCACCACTGTGCCAAATGCTTGGCCCTACCTAATGCCTTTTTACATTCAGTTCTCATGTGTATAATATTAACAAATGTTTTCCCCCACTTTATTTTCTTGCATTTGCCTAATTTATCCTCATCTTTTCTTTTATTTCTGTATTTGCCAGCTCTTTGTTAGTATAATGAAATACCAGCGGCAGGAGGACTTTAATAAAGAAAAGAGTTCCAGCTTGGCCCATGGTTCAGAGGTGCAAGATCCAGAGACCTCATCCAGTGACAGCTTTCTTGTTGGCAGAGTCCCAAGGTGGCAACAGACAGGAAACACGCCTGACAGTCTGTATTTCTAGCAATCTGTTTCTCTCTCTCTCCTCTCTCTCTCTCTCTTTCTCTCTCCCTCCCTCTTTCTCCCTCTCTCTCCCCCTCTCTCTTTCTCATAAAGCCATTGGGATTTAATCACAGGCCTCCAACCTTATGACCTAATGTAATCTGAACCACATCCTGAAGGCCCCACCTCTAAATATCATAATTGGATTAAGTTTTCATCCTCTTAGCACCATTAGATTATGACTTTGAGTTTTAAACCGCTACTTGAGTTTAGAGGCCAAAGCACACATGCTTGTCATTTTGTTTTCTGTGAGTCTCTCTTATATGCTACAATTAGGATCTGAGATCTTTTTTCTTTTTAATACTTGGCATTAATGCATTCGTATTTAATCTGATGACTATTGTACTTCTGAAATTTTAGGTTTTCAGTTTTTATTGTGTTTCTTTCTCGTCCTCTCCCTTTCACATGTCTTAAGTGTTACAAAATGACTTAAGATTTTGTTTCTATACTTAGAGAAGAAAGTCCCTGTTCTTTCACTTGGTATCTGCAAGGCTTTGTGAGATCTGGAACTATCTGTTTTGACAGCCGCCAGGAATTCCCCACACGCCACCTCTGTGACTTCTAGTACACCTGAACCGCTTTGAAGTCTTAAGTGCAGGATACTTCATCTTTGGCTTTATTTCTGTCATTTCTCTTGCTTGTAATGCTCTTGCTTTATTTTTTTTTAACTTGGCTAATTTTTCGTGCCTTTCCTCAAATCATTCTGCTGTCAGCTCCTCTAAAATCCTTCTCTAAAACATCCTCTGAGCCTCACAGCAACCTGCATGCCCTTCCCTGGGGGCTCTATCACGATGTGTTTTTCAAGAACTTTATAAATTAAAAATAAGAAAATGCAAATTTCATTGGATGGTTGTTTATGTCTATTTTTAATCTTTGTCAGAGATTTAGCAATTTACTAATAAAAACATGGGGCTTTAAATTTAAACTGGAAAACAGATGTTGTCTTTTGGGATGATAAACTAAATGGTTCTATCAATCTGGACAAGAGACATGCTCACAATAAAAACCATGAATACAGAAAAGCAGTTCTAATCACTTCTGTGCATCTCACATTCAAGAGAATTGATACGGATTTTGAAGCCCACCTGGCTGCTGAAACAATATATTTAGGTGCAAAAGGCAATGTTTTACTTTATCCTCAAATAATTCCATTCCACTTAGTCAGCAACGGCTCTACGAGTCACCCAGTCGCTGTGTCAGAGGTGGGCAGCAAGAAATTACATCCAGGCCAACAGCTCAGCTCCAGGATAAACAAGGAAGCCCTGAGAAGCCCTATCTTAACTTTTTCTTTCTTAGTTCAGCCATGGCTCAGATCACAGCCTTCGCTTGGCAAATCACATTTTGTAAAGCTGAGGCCAGGAGCTGTAGCAAAAATGACAGATGAGGCTGAGGCCTCACAAAAGCCCAACTGGTGTGAGTGACCCAGGCTGCTTCAGGCAGGTGCTGTCTGCACACAGAGCAGGCACAAGTGCCTCTAGGCTTTGATTTCTTTACAGTGTAAGTAAAATAGACCTTAACAAAGCCCCATGCCCTGAGGGAAACAATTGGAAAGGTCTTACAACTTGGCAAGCCAATCTCACAAGGACGCTGTGCTGACAGATAGCACCTCTCCACATGATTCCCACTTCTCAGAGCAATGGTGAGAAACATTTGCAACTTCTGAAAGAGGGAGAGCAACTGTCAAAACAGGCACGGAACAAGTATGAAGGTAGTTCAAGGGGCTGTAACAGAGAATACCAGGGTTTAGACACAACCAGTGGAGCTAGTAGGAGGGGAGAAGAAAACAAAACAAAAACAAACAAACAAAGATAAAAAACGCCAGGCACCGGGTGTGCCCTCCTAGGCAAAAGGCAGAAGATGGGCTCACTGAGGGTACTGCCAAAAAGCTCACATTCACAGAGACTGACTGGGGACTCTGCTGGTCCCGGCTATAGGGATTTATGGGCGGAATTGTCTCTCCCTCCATCCAATTTAGGAGTATTTGGTTGCAAGCAACTACAATTACAGTTTGTTCAAGCCAAAAAGCAAAGAGGGTGGGGAGGGAGGGAGGTAGAAGAGAGGAGGCAGAGAGACTGATGCAAGTGAATACCCAGAAGATAGGTCAGGACAAGGACGCCAGTGACATCATCAGGGCTGGGCTTCCCTCCTCATTGCCTGGCTCAGAATTCCTCAGTAATGGCTCCACTCCCACCCAGTCTCTTCCCCTCACATGGTGACAAGACTTCCAAGACTTAGACCCTTATATTCTTAGCAACCTCCAAGTAAAAAAGATACTTTTCCTCTACTACATCCTGAAAACTGGAAACTTGTTGGTTTGAAACCATCTAGCTTGGTCTCTTGACTATACCTAGAACTCCACTTGCAAAAAGCTGAGGTAGGCCAGCTCTCTGCTGTGGCCAGGGAGTGCAGTGGAGGATGGCCCAGGTGCTTGGGCCCTACACCCCATGGGAGACCAGGAAAAGCACCTGGCTCCTGGCTCCTGCCAACGGATCAGCGCAGTGCGCCGGCCGCAGCACGCCGGCCGCGGCGGCCATTGGAGGGTGAACCAACGGCAAAGGAAGACCTTTCTCTCTGTCTCTCTCTCACTGTCCACTCTGCTGTCAAAAAAAAAAAAACAAACAACAAACAAAAAAAAAACAACAAAAAAAGCTGAGGTAGGGACGATTTCCCAAGTAATAAGCCAGTACTGACACCAGGACGGTGGAATCCAGAAAGGCAAAACCACAGAACGAACTTCGTGTCAGGTCACTGTGTTTGGAGGAAGTGTTGACAGGAAGCTAAGAGGAAGTTGGCCTTGTTCCCTCCTCAGCATCCATTCTGTCTTCTGACAACAGCAGCATCCTTATCTATGGAACTTGGTACTTCACATGGATTAGTGGAACTGCCATTCAGAGTACCCTACCCGCAGAGGTGAACAGATGACTTCAGTTAAGCCAATCAGATTTGTTTTCTTGGAAAATACAATCACTAGCTCTGAGTTAACAAAAGGTGGTTGGAACTGGGCCACGCAATTTCAGAGTCCCAAAGGAAAGACCAGTAGAGGCTCTTTTCAGGATTTCAGCTGCCTGGTATTGCCTTACTTCTTGCCTTTGCTGTTGTCTGAGTGCTCAACTCTTTCTTGGGTTCTTTGGCTTTCCCAGAGTACACTCTTAGGATTCCATCCAGGGGCTTGCGCAGTGGCACAGTAGGTTAATCCCCGCCTGCAGTGCTGGTATCCCATATGGGCACCGGTTCTAGTTCCAGCTGCTCCTCTTCCAATCCAGCTCTCTGCTGTGGCCTGGGAAAGCAGTGCAAGATGGCTCAAGTGCTTGGGCCCCTGCACCCATGTGGGAGACCAGGAAGAAGCTCCTGACTCCTGGCTTCGGATCAGCACAGCTCCAGCCATTGCAGCCATTTGAGAAGTGAATCAACGGAAGGAAGACCTTTCTCTCTGTCTCTCCCTCTCACTGTCTGTAAGTCTACCTCTCAAATAAATAAATAAAATCTTTAAAATAAAAAAGATTCCATCCATTGCTTTCATTGGGCAGGCCCACTTTCTGTTGAGTGCCGCTTTCAAGTCCGACTACGTCTGGGCTAATTTCAAAGGCTCTGGTAATAGCCATGTCACCTTAGATGCCCAGGTTGGAAGCTAGATTTTTGTCAAAATTCATGCCTGTCTCTGACTAGAAACAACTGAAAAATGTGACTATTCCTGTTGTGTATAGCTTAGTTAGTGGGTCTCACACCTGGACTTGTGCCACGTACTCCTTCTCAGATATCTAGAAAAGGAGAATTAACTGGCCAGATGTAGAACTCAGTTCTCACTTATTTGTCCACTCATAATTCAGAATATTGTTCTTTATTGTTTTAATATTTGAAGAATAGGGAGAATAGGTAAGACTAAGGTTGAGAGTTCAAGAGCTAAGACTTCTAATCTATGTGAGATAAAACATAACTTTCATGAATCCAGTGATGACTTATTTATTTACTGAAGACCTACTGTGACCTAGGCATTGAGAAAGGGACCATGGATGCCATGCTGAGTAAAAATAGACACATTCCCTAATGCCAGAGATTTGACAGAGTCCACAAATGTTTAAAGTGTGCTCCTTGTATTAGTTTCTAAGGGTTGACATAACAAAGTACTATAGTCTGGGTGGCTTAAAACTATAGAAATATATTATTTCACACTTCTGGAGAGCAGAATTCTGAAATGCAGATGCTAGCATGACCATGGTTCCTAGGTTTTTAAGGGAGAGTCCTTCCTTGCTTCTACCCTCAGAGTTCTTGGCTTGTAGGCATTCTCTTCATTTTTTTTTTTTTAATTTGACAGATAGAGTTAGACAGTGAGAGTGAGAGACAGAGAGAAAGGTCTTCCTTCCATTGGTTCACCCTCCAAATGGCCACCATGGCCAGAGCTACGCCAATCTGAAGCCAGGAGCCAGGTGCTTCCTCCTGGTCTCCCATGCAAGCACAGGGGCCCAAGCACTTGGGCCATCCTCCACTGCCTTCCTGGGCCACAGCAGAGAGCTGGACTGGAAGAGGAGCAACTGGGACTAGAACCCGACACCCATATGGGATGCTGGTGCCGCAGGAAGAGGATTAACCGAGTGAGCCACAGCGCCGGCCTCAACATTCTCTTCATTCTAATCTCTGCTTCCATCTTGTCATAATCTCCTCCATGGATCTCTGTGTCTTCTCTTTTTATAAGGACATCAATTAATGTGTTTAAGCCTCACTCTAAATCCAGGATTATTTCATCTCAAAATCTTTAACCAGTTACATCTACAAAAGCTCTGTGTCCAAATAACATCACAATATGAGACTATCAGTGGACATGAATTTTTGGGTGACTATTCAACCCAACATACAAATAATATATAATAGCTGAATGAATGACTAACAGAAAGAAAGAATATAATCTCATAAGTGAGAAAGAAAGGAATGTGAGCTAACTTGAAGCTATAGTAGACACAGACTACCATGAAGTTGGCAGCCTAAAACATAAGCACTGATGATCCAAACTTTTGTGGGTCAGAACTCCAGAAACAGTGCAACTAGATTCTCTCTCCCAGAGTCTCAGACTTTGGTCAGATTCAGTTCTAGCCTGGAGGCTCTGGGTAAGAATCCACTTCTCAACTCCTTTCACATTGTTAGAAAAAAATCTGTCCCCTCACAATTGTAGGAGTCAAGTTGCTATTTCCCTGCTGCTTGCTATGGGCTATCCTCTCCATAGTCACACGTTGGAATCCTAACCTCCAACATGACTGTACTTGGAAATCAGACCTTTAGAAGGAACAGTCATCTCTCAGTGCTCATATGTGATTAGTTCCTGGACTCCCTGTGGGTACCAAAATCCTTAGATGCTCAAGTCCCTTATGTAAGTTGGCACAGTATCAGAATATAACCTTTACACATCTTCTAATAGACTTAAATCATCTCTAGATTACTTATAACATTTAATCCAATGTAAATGCTATTTAAGTAGTTGTTATACTGTATTGTTTAAGGAAAAGGGAAATAAATTCTACATGTTTCCCAAACAGATGTAATTTTTTAAAATATTTTCAAAATATTATTTGGAATATTTGGTTAATCCCATGGAGGCAGAACTCACAGATGTGAAGCCCCAACTGTACTCAGAGGGCTTGGGTCCCAGGAGTCATCTTAAAATTTTTCTACCTCAGTGGGCCAGGGAAAGTTCGCCTGAGTACATGATAAGGGAACTAGATAAGTAGGGACAAGGGAACTTGGAGGCAGAAGAAGAGAAGGAAACAGCTTCTCTAGTAAAGCTGAAAGGAGACCCATGTGACAGGAGCACAGGAGATGAAGGCAAGACAGTGGGAGGTGTAGACAGACAGGCTGGGCTTGCTCTGAATTCACAGCCATGAAGGCCACGAGAGGACCCTGGACAGGAAGCACTGGAGTCCTCTCCTCTTTTAGGGATGGTCAAAACCACAAGCCACAGAGAATTACTCACAGCCAGCTAGACTTTTAACTCCAAGAACCGCCAAACCTGCAGGCATAACATGGAAAACATTTGGTAATTCATTAGGCAAGGGCACTGGCTGCCATGTCCTTTGCCAATGAAGCACTCATTTGTAGGGGGCAAGGTGGTTCTGAGAGGCAGCAGTGAAGGACCTTTGGTAGAATCATCATATAATTTATAACCTAAGCCAAAACGGGTTAGAAAGTGATGGGGAATATTGTATTAATTACATTAGGACAGCAAGTGCGAACCAAGGCTTTTCCTGCCAAAGCAAGAATTATGGCCACTTCAGTCTTTTGGA